TATCTACAGGTAGTCCTCGACTTACAACCACAATTGAGTCCAAAATTTCTGTTGCTAAGTGAGACATTTCTTAAGTGAGTTTTGTCCCACTTTACAATCCTTCGTGTCACAGTTGTTAAGTGAATCAAGTTAGTAACATAGTTAATAACACCACTATTTTTTCTGGATACTCAAGATGTGCTATTTATTCTTATTACTATTTACCTGATGTTTATGTTATGTTAAAAAATATGATCTCATATTTTATTTTAAAAATTGCACTGCCGTAAGCTGTGTCTGTTTTACCAAAAAAGATTTCAAGAAATGCCAAAATCCCTATTGAAATCCAAAGAATGGTAAAATGCATCTAGCATTTGAATTGCAACCACAGACTTGCAATTCAGTTCAGCAGGCTTGAACTGCTACTGAATTGGAAAGGATGACAAAGACATTAGTATTATAATGAATCTATACTGGGAGCAAAGTCTTTAATGCTTGAAGAAGCCTTTTCAAATAAGTATTAAATCCAGAAAGAAGTGTGCCATGATTGTATCCTTTCCCCTCTCCTTTTCAATGTCTACACTGAAAAATATTGGATGAACTAAGCACTGGACCAGGACTGAATATGAGGATATGAAAATAAACAAGATATGCAGATGATATTGTGCTCCTGGTAGAAAAAGAAAAGAATGAGGAGCTTCTAATTGAGAATACACCAAGTGAAAACTCTGGGTCATATATAAATATTTTTAAAAAGGCAGGGGAGGGGGGAATCTCCAAAATTTAAATCAATAGTCTATAATGCCATTTTTATACAAGTCAAGGACTGTACCTATCTTGGACACTTGTTCACAGAAGATAGAAAGACAGCTGGTAAAATAAAGAAGAAAATAGAGATTGCCAGGAATATCCTTAGAAAGGAAAACTTTTCTAAGCATGAAGAATAATCTGACCTCAAGGAAAATTGACTTAAAATTAAGAGTAAGAATGACTAATTAGAACATCTGGTGAATTCTTCTTTGTAACTGTGAGACATAAACCATATTCAAGGTGGCTTTGAAAAGAGGCATTTAGGATGAATAAAAAGATCAAATCCTCAAGTCCAGGGGATGGCATGGGAATAAAGAAGCCTCAAAAAGGCCATCGAAGAAAGAAAATGGAGACATTGTTAAGTCATATACTCAGACACAAGTCTATAAAAAGACTGCTGGAAGAAATCAGGGAAAGAACAAAGCAATGGACTAAAAAAGATATTTGGAATAGTAATATACATACTGGACTGGTCTAAATTATGAAGACTGTGCAAGTGTGGCAAAGATGCACGCTCAAGGTTTTGCTTACATCTCCAAATGCTCTAAAGTACCTTTCTGGAATCAAATCTGAAGTGCTGCACAGCGCTAATAAGAAAGTTTCTGACAACTGTCTAAAACCAAAAGTAATTATTTTCCAAGCAAAGTTTTACTGAGAATACAATTCTTATAAAGGCTAACTTACAAAAATGCTTATCTGATCTTATTTATACTCAAATTCATGTTGACCAAGACTTATATCAGTGATGGGAGTTACAGAACAATGGCCAATCACAACATACTTGTGTATCAGAAAGCAAAATTAAACTCTTGGTGTCTTTCATCCTAAATAGCCTACTAGAATGCTTCCTATTATTTCAGCTCATGTTTATTTTATTTTTTTCTGGACAGGATGAGATGACATAATTACTGGACAAAGCAATGAGTGTTAAATCAGTTTTTCAATACTCATTCTGTCCCTGTGTTCACTCCTCAGTCCCCCCAAACTATCTAGTCAAGTGCAGCAGAAGTCTAGCAAGCATCTTAGTTATGTTCATGAGGCTATTTGCTGAATCTCATGTAAACTTGTAATCTACATCAGGGGTCCCCAACCCCTGGCTGTGGCACAGTGCCGGGCTGTGGCTGGTTTGGAAGTGGGCCGCATGAGTGGCTGGCTGGCGCACCCGTGCATGCAGTTCAACTCACGTGAGCAGTGGGCTGGTGCACATGCACCAGCCCATTGCTTGCACAGGCCAGTTCCCAGTTCCCCTCTCTCCCCCTCCCCCCGGCCAGGCCGCCAAGCCATAAAGGTTGGGGATTGCTGATCTACACCCATGTATTTCCTGTTTGCTGCCTGTTCTTACAATAATTTCAGCACCTGGATCGAAATTGTTGAGCTGAAGCAATTTAATCAAGTTGTACTGGGAGGCATGGTCTCTCCTAAGCCTGTAAACTAATTAGTGCTGGGCAAAGGTTACAAATGGCCTGGTTTCAAATTCATTATTAAAATAAAGTGTCATGACATGCTCCCTCCCCCTAGCCACAAATCATTTAATAGAGAACCAAGCAGACAAATCTTAACAGTTATGATCATCTTCAAAGAAGTTTCTCTGTTAAATAAGCTTTTCCTAGTACTTTGTTTAAGCTTTTTGCAAGCACTTATATGATGCAAAGGTGAAAGTGTAGGGTTCCAGAAATTGTTAAGGTCTTGTGAGAAGACGGTTCAAAGTAAAGAGACCTAATTACGCCTGTTACAATCATGCAATTTGAATACACTAATAATACAAAAATGTATGCAAATGATAGAACATTCTGACCTTGTATCAGTATTTGCATGTCAACATATTATTGCTAGCATAAAATGCCAACCAATATATTGCTATGGGGCCGTAGTAACCTGTAGCTTTGTATGAATAGAAAGAAGTCCAAAAGGCAGAAGGGTTTCTTCAGGAAAATTTCATGTGAAGAATGAAAACTGAAGAAATCTCAAAAAGACACATGAAATAAAGTTCTCATGACAAAAGATGGTTCTCAAAATAATAGATAGAGTCCATGTGAATTGAATGAGGCAACAGCATCCAGAATGACAAAAATACCAAGAGCAGTGGTGGGCTTGCTGGAAGGTATACAGATATATGGGAAATGTAATCTTTGTAATCATTACATCAAATAAGATACATGAACAATAGTGTTCCTCCTCAAATCTTCTGGAACTCCAACTTAGTCTGGGCAGTTAGACTTTCAGTTGGTAGGTGTGAAAGATGTGGAAATGTGTATTGGTGAAACTTAAGTTTCTACAATTCTTAAGTCTCTGGAGAGAAAAAGAAGAAGTAACACTGGTACTGCTTTGCAGTCCTTATTGAGAGTGAAAACTGAATGAGAAAATATATCTCATTATTATTATTTTGGAGATCTCATCTCTCAAATCTTGATCATTTCTCCTACATAATATAAAAACAAATTGTAGGAATTGCTTGTGAAAATAAGAATAACTCTAGAGAAGTTGTTCAAAGAACTAAGATTATCTTTTCTATTAGGACCCAGGTATCTAGCAAAAATTTGTTTGATTTGAAGCGCTGGTAAGCAATTCTGTGAGCTAGTGATTTTTCTGGGCTGATTTCCAGGCTAATGAAAATGTTCATTTATAAAATCACCCAAATTTCCTTTAAAAATTCTGATATAACATTCAAACCAGTAACTCTTCTAGAATATTCAATATGGCAGTACAAATTCTTGGTCCTGGCTGATTCCGAACTAAGCATTTTCAGCTTCCTGAAGATAACATGAGATTCAAGAGGGGTGAAAAAAGGATGTTTATTTCAAACCAGCAGTGAAAAAAGAAAGGAGATTATAATGGACTTGACATCTGGATGTGATTGGTAAACCAGGCTATCATTAGCAAGCACTTGTATTACCATCGCCACCTGATTTTGTTTAAACAATAGGCAGCAGAGCAGAAAATAAATTCCATGTATATTCATAAATAAAACCACATTGGCAGCAGTATCTTTAACTAAAGGGCAATGTTCACATTTATGTGCATGCACACATTTAAAAATAATGAAAATGAAGATCAGAACCATCTTCTCAAAAGCAAAAAAAAAAAAAAGTAACCTATTCCCTTAAATTGAGCACACCATGATTTAAATGAATTGAACTAGTTAAAACATGTTTTTTACTCTCAGGGAAGTTTGTTTTGATTTTGCAGACCCCCACCTTCAAACAATAAATGCATGCAATAGAAAAAAAATGAAACAAACAAACGTAAGTCACAAATTCCGTGAAAGAAAAAGCACTGCATTCAGGATGAGGACAAAACTATTTGAACCAGCAATAAAATACTATTGGGCTGTGACTGGGGTAGAATTGGAACAGTTCCGATGACCTAAATGGTGTGTTCCTAGTAATGTACTCCAAAGTAGTATTTGAATTTTTAACAGCTGCATCACACTGCAGGCTCACGTTTAATTGGTAGTCTACAAGAACCCCCAGATCCTTTTCCTATTGCTAAGGAAGTTGCTAAGCCAGTACTCCGCACCATATACTGTGGCTTTTATTTTCCCCACCCAGATGCAGAATTTCCTGTTTCACTTTGTTAAATCTACCCTATTCATTTCAGCCCACTGTTCAAGCCTCTCTAGAACTTTTGGAATCCACCACTTCTTAAGTATTAGTCATCTCTTCCCAGTTTCGTATCATCTGTAAATTTGGTATGCATCTCCTTAACTCCCTCTCCAAACCCTGCTGCTCAACAGCACTGGGCAAAGGGCAGAGTTCTGGGACGTTCCACTCAATACTTCCCTCAAGCTGAAATTAATGAACAGACTTTGAGTGCAGCGTTCTGCAATCATCCATACCTTTTTTTTACAACTTTAGCAAGGAGAACATCACGAGAGACTTGTCAAAGGCTTTGCTGAGGGGCAGGTACACTATACTCCCTACATTCCTTGATCTACTAAGCTATCATTGACCTACTATACAGTGGTACCTTGCTATTCATCATTAATTGGTTCTGGGAGGTATGATGGGTACCAAAATATATTTCTTTTCTTCAAGAATTGAAAATTTAGAATGTTTTTTATTCTAATAAATTATGTAGGGTCTCTGCACTAACGTCCAGTTGTTATAAACAGGATGTATTCATCTTAGAAAGTTTTCAGAAGTATACCTCTCACCTAAAAGGAAAGCTACAGTAACAGGCAATTTTTTTCCCCAAATATAATTTGCACTTACGCAGTTGAAGGGTTCATAATGCAGCCCCCTTTGTCTGCAGTTGTTTTGCAGTTGCAACCTCTTTCCAGTGTATCATGGTTCATACCAAAATTGTGGCCTAGTTCATGAGCCAGAGTTACTGCTGCCCCCAATGGATTGTCTGCATGATCCTAAAAAGAAAGCACACAAATCTCATTGTAATAAACAATCCAATCCTGGAACACACCCTAATTTATTAAAAATTATTATAGGCTCAGAAAGTGGTATTACTCGATACCTATTACTACTATACGCATACACTTGCTGTTTTCCAAATTCATATTTGCCTTATCTAATTAGGAGTTATACATGCAAACAGCCTTGTAATACTGTTTGAAAGGCAATCATTTGAGGCAGTAATAGAAAGCTATTTTTATATCAGCAGTTATCAATGCAATTCCATAAATGTTGTCTACAGAAAAAACATAATAAAATTATTGAAGAAAATGTTGTTGCTAGAAAAATATACTCTGAAAATTACATTACATTACATTACATGAATTACATTAGCAGTATGTAATATTATTTGAAGTAATTTGCAGTATGAAGGGGATTTATTTCATAGTTGCATTTCAAATGGTACAACATCCAGTTGTTTGTGTGCATAAACTCAGCCTGTCTCAGACATGAAAGATACTCCATGCTGGCCTGTTATGTCTATGTACAGTCTATTCCACGTAAACTAATGTAAAGCAACCAGAAATAGCTACTGTGTGCAAGAGAAAACACCAAGGTCATGTCTTATAGAGAGAAGTCCTAGGTGCTGAAAAGTGGAATGAGATGAAACATTCATCCTCTGGGTAGCTGCCTATTCAATAGCTTCAGAGGAAACACTCCAAAATTATTTTTGTATTTCCACAGGAACAGTGGGTATTCTAATTAATTTTTGAAGCCTTCAAATTTCTATAGAAGCCCAACTACATCATTGCAACAAAGGGCTGCAGTGGTGATCTCAGATTCAGCTCTTATGAAAGGGGCTCTGTGATGTAGATGTGTCTTCCTATTCACGGTCTGGTTCACACATGAATGTGTAGCACTGATTGAAATAGGAAACGGCGACTTGATTGATGGTCCATTCAAACAGAGACAGAGCTTTCACAAGGCCTTAATGTAATGTTTTAAGGGAATCACTTTATATAATGATGTGCCTTTCATGAATGGCAAAAAATAAAGTAATGCAAGTCCGCAAGTATACCAAACCTAAGTAATTATTCATAAAATATTATGATGCAAGAAATCATGCAAAAGCTTGGCATAAGTATACGTTTTCCAAAATCTTGGTAGAAAGCATATTTTCCTTTCGCTACCAGTAGAGTAATATAAATGAAGTATCAATTTTCTGAGTAAGAATTTTGTAGTCAGTAAAAGTAAAGGTAGCATTAAGTTCTTCTTTTCTTTTACAATTATATCACAGCAGGAACTCATTTCAGCAACTGACATCTTGACTCAAACACTTACATGACAACCTTTCCACAATAATCCCTATGACAGTGATGGTTAACCTTTTTTGGTGCTGAGTGCCCAAATGCACGTGCATGTGCCTGAACCCCCAAAATGCAATGCGAGCACCCCCCATGCATGCGCCCTGCCCCCACGTATGTGCGAGTGTCCCCACACATGCGCCTCTCGCGCCCTGTTTTGGCTTCCAGGTTGGTGCAGGAGGCTTTCCAGGCCCAAAATAGGGTGCGGGGAGGCCTCATGTGGCACTGCTGCACCCCGCTTTGGCTTCCAGGTTGGTGCAGGAGGCTTTCCAGGCCCAAAATGGAGCATGGGAGGCCCTTACATGGTGCCCCCATGCCCCATTTTGGCTTCCAAGTTGGTGGAGGCTTTCCAGGCCCAAAACGGGACACAGGGCCTCCTGCACCAAACTGCACCCCCCCGTGCATGTGCCCCATATGCGCCCCACCCCCCGCACATGTGTGGCAGAGACCTGAAGACCAGCTGGCCAGCGGGAGGCACACACACATGTGCAGTGGAACTAGGCTGGGGCAATGGCTGGCGTGCCCGCAGAGAGGGTTCTGCATGCCACCTGTGGCATGCGTGCCATAGGTTCGCCATCACGGCCCTATGACATCCACCTATTTCATTGCAAAACTGATCTCCTTATACCCCTTTCCCCCAAAATGGATTAGACATATATCATAAATGAATGCTTGGCTATCAGTCAGTAATTATTACACATATCTTTTTCTCAATGCCTATTCTTCAAATGATTCTTCAAACTGTACTCTTCAAAAAGAAGCCCTCTTCATAACCTCTCAAGAGCCTTGGTAGTAAGGGGTTTAAGGCACCCTGTTATTAAGCTGGTTATTAAGACCAGCTGCCTGCAATTACTGCAGGGTTCGAATCTCGCCAAGGCTCAAGGTTGACTCAGCCTTCCATCCTTTCTAAGGTAGGTAAATTGAGGACCCAGTTGTGGGGGCAATAAGCTGACTTTGTATAAATATACAAAAGGATGAAGGCTATTGCTGAGCACATTGTAAGCCGCCCTGAGTCTTCGGAGAAGGGCGGCATATAAATCAAATTAAAAAAAAAAAAAAAGCACTCTTTTGAGCAATGAGAGTAGATATTCAGAACTGCCTAAAACCTAAAGAAAAGACATTTCAAATGTATTAGTGGCTTAAATTTCATAATTTTCTGGTAATATGAATAAACTGTCATATGAAAGACGAATGAAATAAAACATCCTGTCAATTCAGAAAAAAACTATTATTTTTTGATCATTGGAATGAATACAATTACTTGAATGTATTTCATCCGGAACTTTATGATAGTAATTTTAATACACTCAGTTGTGTCAATGTGATCTTGACATTTTTTAGAGAATGAAGTTGCCAAATATTGTCATTTGGGGAGGGGGTGTTGGGGGGGAAGGGTACTGCTTTCCCCCACCTTCATTGTATTGCATTGAATAGGATCTGTCAGGGATCTTCAAGGCTATGTTACCCATGGATCCAGTAATCAGGCCCATAAAGAAGGAAAGAAGAGATTCCAGTATCACCGAGGTTTATGCTAAGTTAGTAAATTCTAATGTCTATTTTTGAAATAATTTCTTTCTTTGCTCTACAGACAGCTGTAAAACAAGTGAAATCAGTTTCTGTTTTAAAGTACTCAAATTATATTTGTGTGCTGTAAACCACATTATGCAGTATTTATTATCCTGTGCAGCCAATTGGGAAAAAAAAAAAACATGGCAGAGAAACCACTGGATCCTGAACTCTATTCAACTCTTGTCAGGCTGAAAAAGAAATGAATAGACCAGTTTCAGGCTAGTAAATTTTTTATTTATCCTCAATATATCCCATGAGCACCAGTGGCTGAAGGACTGCAGCAACGGCATCACGAAAAAGACTTTTTCAGATGTAACTTAGACATGGCTCCAGAGCCCCTCAATCTCTGGAGGACTGAATTATAATTATAATCTGAATCATAAACTTGTTTATGTGACAGAAGGGGAAATTATAAAATACTTGGGAATAATCACATTCTGGGAAGAATGGGTCAAGTTCTCCCAAGATAGAAAAATTGCACACCGCTGACTTGGACAGATCTATATAGTATTAGAAACTCTGAATTTCTGGTATTTTTAATGAATAGTTGTTAAGATTATGATTCCTTATATTAAGAAATATAGTGAAAAATAATGTTATAAAGTGTCTCAACTTCAACTAAAAAGGGTTGTATACTGGAAAATAGTGTTATAAAGTGACTCTATTTCAACTAGAAACAAAGATTGAACAGATATTGTTATGTAGTTTTTCCCATTTGTTTTTGATATGTACAAAAATAGTAAACTTTATTTTAAAGAAGCAAACTAAGCCCCAAACCATACTTCTGGATTTTTCTTTAATGTAAGAATGTTCATACTCTTAAATAATCACAGAAATAAATAAAAGCAAAGATGGTATCACATCTGGAGAAAAGCAATGAATGATATAGCTTGAAGACAACACCATTATCATCAAGTAGGAAATCAGAACTATTTGATGTCTTCTGAATACAGGTTTAATAGTTATCTAGACCAAATTCTTCAAGGCAGGAAGTACCATAATGCAGCAAAATTATTACACAAAGACATTCTAACCAAACAATTGGAAACTTCCACGTTGATGAGAAAATTACAGGAAGCCGGAAGAATGCTCATATTTACTGGTCTGTTTCCCCCCTCCCTTCCTTCCATTTTTCAATTGTTTTCCCTTGTCAATTGATTTTACAAGATGTTTCATAGTCATCAACCTGAAATCATCCATGATTCCAACCACTGAGCCCAAAATTAGAATGGTTTCACTGAAGCACGATCCTTAAAAGTTTACAATCAAATCAGGTTTTGAGAATCAAACTGAACAATTGGGCAATTAGAGTCATTTCCACTATCTGGTTTTGCAATCAGTCGCCTTAGAACTGGATTGTTATTAGGAAGCCAAAATGTTAAGAAGCCAATCAATGTTCTGCTCCTCTTTCTTTCTTTCTTTCTTTCTTTCTTTCTTTCTTTCTTTCTTTCTTTTTTTTTTTTTTTACATTTGCTGCATTTATATAGGGGGCAGATGATTGCCCTCTTCTTCCAGGGCACCCCTGTTTGCTATTCTGTTTTGCCTTAAATCTCAAAGAAGAGTAGGTAGGCAAAGACAAAAAGATCAGCTCAGAGATCAAAAAACAAAACACTTGAAACAATTGGAAGAGGTATTACAGGATTCAAGACAAAGTGTTCCAGCATATGTATCAAGGTTCAGAGGGTTAAGTTGGATTATATTCCTTGAAGGACATTATCTTTTATACCAGTGTATTTAAGTTTATCTCTAGTGTTGCATTCTCCTAAAGCTCTCCTTTCAGCCATAAGTTACGCTGCTGTCCTTCCTTCCTATTTTGCAACTCTACCTGCTTTTCATTTCACCAGTGAATATAGCCCTTTGTAGGCAACATACTGTATTTTACTTGATGACAGACAACAAAAAAATGGGGCAGGGAGGTCACTTCACAAAACACCTTACAATTGGATTTGTCTTACATCATTATTGTATGTATATTGATCGAACAGCATGTTGCCATGCTGTCACCAGAGTATGTGTTATGACACTGTGCTCTCACCACCATGAACAGGCTTTGTGCTAAATACTACTGGCCAGTTTCTCCA